ACGCAGGTGGTATGACACGCCGTGTACGCAATCCGTCATGATCAGATCACTAATTCGAATTGGACCAACCGCCGCCTCCGGCGCCGGTAAGAGCACAAGTATTTGAGATCTGTGCCTGCCGGAGCAGTGCAGTTCCTACGGTATGTCTCTCTCTTTCCCACCCTCCCTCCCTTTTTTCCAAGACGCTTGGCTTTCTCTTTCAACTGTGCTTGTTTACAAAAACGCGCCTTACAGTGGCCACCGAATGCTGAAAATAGGCCTGGTGGACAAAATAGGGCTTCGAACTCGAGGATGGGCGCGCGCGCCGACCCAGCGCGCGAACTCTCCTTTCGTCACCCGGCTATGCCACATCCAACAGCAAAAGGTTCCTTGTCGGGAACGATGAATTCGCAAGGACTATTTAAAGTACAGTCTCGACGGCCACACTTTTAGTTCCACTACCATGGATTATACAGCAACCAGCCTAGCTGGGGTGGCTGTGTGGTAGTACAATAAAAGAAGGCCATTGTTTCTCAAATTCGGTCCTAATGCAGGTTGTGAGTGAAGAATAAAATATGGAAATTTTGGTACATCATACTACTACATGAATGGTTCCTGCCTACCTAGGTACGTGGGTGTATTAGTCCTCTTGCCTAACTTTTTGCTCCCGCACCCCGAATCTTGTTAATTCGAACTCATCGCTATCGACATTACGATGAGTTACTGCTTGCGCGCATTGCCCATCAATTTCCTTATACTACTGTCATGTGGTACGACCAAACTTAGCTTATGTGTGCGAATGCGGTGATTTTGGCACTTTCAAAGTGTCGAAACAGGTTTCTGAAGACCCTGTCCAGTGTCTATAGAAGCTCCCTGTATTGCATGCGGAAAACATTCCAAGAAACGTCCAGCGATCTTGATGGCCCTGCCAACATGTAGTGCAATACGCACCTGAAAAGGGGGGTGAAAAGAAAAGAAAATATTTGGATATGAAAAGTAGTCCGGGTTGGGGGACACACGTGTGAATAATTGCACAGTTTTAATTTTTAATTATTTTATTTTATTTAGTTAATTAGTTGGCATTAATTTTGCTCACACTAGATTAGATCTAGGATCTAGCGCCGCGAGCTACTGTAGTGGCTCCGGCGGGGCGATATATACCTTAGCCCTCTGACCACCAAGTCAGTAAAGGTAACCGGAGTTGCCAGAGTTGAATATCGCCTTGGTCGAAGTCCGTCTTTCCCAAGACGCTCCCTCTTACCACAGATTACGTTATCCTTTGCGCTCGGGGGTTCCCTTTCCTTTTCCTTTATTTCACCTATCCTTTTCTATATCTATCTCTATTTCTATTCCCTTATCTTGTGTTGGCATCGGCTTTGGTTGCAACCGGACCGTTGTAGGTGTCTTGGCCGTCGGGCGACACGTGGGTGTAGCGCTGCTACTTGTTTGCGTCTACCGACGGAGGCTGTTGCGACGACGTCTCCCTCGAAGGTCCTGTTGTGTATACAGGGCAGTGTTGGTTCCATTGGATACAGGTTGCGACCGTTCCGGTGTCGGTACTTTGCCATCGGGCAGTACGGAGGTGTAGCGCTGCTACGTGTTTGCTAATTCCCGACGGGCTGCGTTGCGACGCCCCCGTCGAAGACCTTATCAAGGGTATAAGGTGTAACAGGTGCTCCGCGAGCATTGGATTTACGACTCATCGGGCCCGGCTTCCCAATCACGGCCCCGAACTTGCCTAGCAACTGCCTGTACAAAACTCTACCACCATTCGTCCCGGGACGGGCCTCTTCCTTTTGCCCCCCCCCCCTATCAGGGACTTGAGCTACTGTGGGCCGCAAACCCACTTAAAGGGAAAGAAAGAATCGGACACTCCGTAGGGCTGTGCCGTCGGCAACTCTTGTTGGTTGTTTTTTGTTGGTTGTGTTGTCGCTGGACCGTTGGACCCTGGTTCCGGCCTGACAGGCACATTGCACTACATAAGTGGTCTCCCGACCTAGAATGTGGAAACTACGAAGCCCGACCTAGAATCTGGAACTGAAATCAGAAGACGGAAATAGGTAAATTAGTTCAATAAGGTCTCGTTTATTAAGAGCGGACCATGGCATCAAGCCAATCCAAGGACGTCGGTCCTGGGGTCAGAAGGGCTGGATCAGCGCAAGAGTCGAGGATTCCGCGAGGACCTCGTACACGTAGCCAAGGAAATTCGGCTACTGATCCAGTTGCAGAAGCGTCCCCTTCGGGGACAGCCGTTGAGAAGAACGGCCTGGAAGAGAAGTTCGAAAAATTGAGCGAGGAGATTCGACAGGAGACGAAGAGCAAGCTCGACGAACTTCTGGGCATTTTTCAGAAGCAACAGGAGTTGCTAAAATCCGAGTTCCACGCTGCGCTTGAAGAGCTGACAGCCCGTGTGGTTCTCGTTGAGAATTTAGATACCGATGCGTCCCCGGGCCGATATCCGGAAGTGCTGGATTCGCTAAAGCTCGCCGCGAAAGAAGCGCGGCGAGACGCGAATCAGGCCCTGGAAACGCTGGCCAAGACAAGGGACAGCATCGACGACTGGTTTTACCGCGCTTCGCGGCGACTCACGGACCTTGAGCAAGCGGCGGGCCGGGCCGAACCAAGTTTGGACGCGGGATCGCTCTCCGGCGGAGAAGAAATCGACAGTCCAACGAAGAAGGACAAGTCAGTCCGGACCCGGGATTCCAAGTGGAAGAACCCCAAGTCGGCCAAAGGCCGAAAGAAGAAGAAAAGTCACTGTAGTGACGACCGCGAAAATTGCGACTCAAATTCGGAGTCGAATGTTTCAGAAGAAAATGGTGACGACGGCTCGTCGAACCATTCAAGAAATTCAGACGGAAGATCGACAGACGGAAATGGAATTTCGTCAAATAAGAAGAGCTCCAGAAGAGGCGGAGTCACTTCTTCCGCCTCGCGCAGAGACCAAGAAGCGGAGCCGGAAGACATCGCGACGCGGTGCGGACAGCGATGGGAGGAGTTGGAGGAATTAAATCCGACCAACCACCTCTCCAAGAAGTGGCTTTCGTACAGGACGTACCGCCTGCGGAACCCGCAGACACGTTTGTCGGGCAAGCAGCGGACCGCCGTGCGAAAGATCAGAAGAGACGTACCACCAAAGATGAAGAGAGACAATATGTTCACAGGAGACGATGGCGTATTAGTTCTCGATTTTTTAGCTAAGATAGTCCAAGAATTCGACACTCAGGAGATGAACGAATGCCAAGCAATCCGCTTGCTACCGGAGTTCCTCGGCGGAATCGCCCTGAGACAGTACACTTCGGTGTCACAAACGGCGGGGTCCCACCATGGGAAAATATCCGTCTGGCCGGAGGCCATACAGTGGCTATTGCGAAGCTTCGCCACCGATGAGGCCATCCGCCAAGCCGTACTCGCTTTGCGGGAAGTACAGCAACTACCGTCTGAAGACGAGATCGAATTTTGCATCCGTCTGACGGACGCGAGCAATCGATGTGGAAACATATATTCAATAGAAGAACAAATGACGATGTTTATTGAAGGACTCGATTCGAGCATCAAGCCGATGGTATCGCAATACCGACAAGACAATCGGGACGTTTCGTTTTTGAGACTAGTTAATTACGCGAAGGCGCATGGCTCGGCGAGCCGCGCCAAGGAGAAGAAGACTAGGAGAGTCACCATCCAAGCGCCAGCGACGCTAAGGGCGGTGGGGAAGCATTAGCCTTCGCACCCCACGCGAAAAACCCGCGGCGCGGTTCACTTGGCCGCTTCACTTTCTGCGTCCAGAGGACCTACTCCTGTTGATCAGGAAGAAAACGGATACGCAGGAGCGCTGGTCGCCGAGGGCGATTTTTATGACCCCTCCGAGGGGTATGGAGACGAGGATCACGGGGCTAGTGGGATGTCTACGCTACAGACGCCCACGTATACGACGGGCTTGTATACAGAGGCCGCGGAACCCGTGTTACCGTTTCGAGGGCGCGGACACACGCCAGCGCCAAGAATTGCGATTGAAAACAAGGGTACGGCCTTCAGAAGACCGGGCTGGACGGGCCGGCCGACGGCCCGAGGACCGCCAAGGTCGCCGTACCCTCAGAAGAAGCGTGGCCTCGTATGCTACCATTGCTACGAGAAGGGGCACGGAGCGCCTACGTGTTTGCTCTCGTTCCGAGAGATGCACCGAGTTCTGAAGAACTACGAGATGCTCTCCCCGATGGAGAGGTTGGGAATTCCGTCGACAAGTTACCTGAAGGTAAAACAATGGTTCGAATCTCAGGCGGCGAGCACACCGAGTGATTCTGCCGAAGGTTCGCACCGGACATCAGGAAGGCCGGCCGCGGGGTCGTCGTCGGATTGGAGAAGAAATTCGCAGCGACAGGAAAACTGAGGGGGGGAATCTCAAAAAATTCGAAAGGAGAGACATGTGTCCGGCGAACCATGTCCGGGACCCAGTTCCGTTCCCCGCTTTTAGCAAAGGAGGCAGTCGAAGACGAGAAGACAGTTGGAATCATCGATAACCCGAAAGGACCTATTGGGGTCAAGAAGATTCTGCGAAGAGGCAAGGACGATCCGCTGGAGCAAGTCCGACGCCTCTGGTACAGGGTCAAGCGCGGGGAATGTCCCGAGAAGATTTTGGTCCTTGCGAGGAAAAACTACAAAGTCTTCGCGGACATTGGACCGACGGTCGGATTGATGAGCCGTGTACTGTCCGTGTTGGACACCGGCGCGGGACCTAATCTCATCCGGAGATCCGAGCTTCCCGCAGGAATGGAAACGCTTGTGTCCTTCGGACCGACCCAGGACATCGGCGATGCGAATAACAGGCCACTCCGAACTCTAGGTACACTCAAAATGCCTGTGAGACTTGGACGTTTCGTGGCTACAGTCGAATTTATAGTTTGTGAAACAAGTGGGCTCCGTGCGCGCTTCGCGCGCCGAGCCAAGGAAGCGTGGAGGAACACTATTTGGGAAGGGTGGCAATGAAAATATGTAAAGACAATGGCGTTTACTTTTTTTGGTAACTACTGAAGGACCTCGGGGTACACTACGTTTCGCGTGGTTTCATTGGACTCTCGAGTGAGGACAGTGACGTTGCCTGGGTGAGTAGTCCTTGATAGTGCGACATAGAGTTGACCGTGCGAGAAGCAGTGATCTCGTAAGTCGAGACCAATGCGGCCACCGAAGGATTGGCCTTGCGCTTTGTTCGTTGTAAGGGCGAAGCACGTGCGAATGGGGAACTGCGTTCGGGTGAAGCCAGGGATGGGAAAGTTGTCGTCTCCTGGTCCGCAGGGCATTCGAGGAAGACACAGTCTGTTGCCTTGGTGTGAACCGGTGGTAACGTGTAGAAAGAGCAGGTTGTTGGTCATGTTCTGGATGACATATCGCGCGCCGTTGACGTGACCGGTAGCGGGATCGAGATTGCGCAGAAGCATGACGATGAAGCCTTTCTTGAGCTTGAGCTTGTGGTCTGGTAGAGCAGATCCGGCGGTCAAGGTGTTGAGCATTTCTGTGGGATAGATCAGCGCGTTGGTGTCCTCGTTGTCGACCTTGTCTGCGCTCAAATACGTTCGATACGATCCCGGAATCATGTTGCCGATGACCTCGTTGACTTCCTCGAGCGGCCTGTTCTTTGTGGTGAGTATAACGCGCTTGGTGAGCCAGGCAGGGTCGGCGTGATTGTCTCGAATGCCTTGGAAGACCTTGAGGCATAAATTGCGGATGGTGTGCTCGAACGCAACGGACTGTGGTAGTGAGATCCATTCCGGGCGCTGTTCGCCTTGAAGTCTGCCTTCCCCGACGCTGAGAAGGAATTCTGGAAAGTTGAGAGCCTCCACATCTGCTGCAGAGTCCGCTCGGAGAGCAGCAAGGCGCATGTTCTCGGTAAGGCGCAGGAATCGGCACTCTCGATACAGCGGGGAAGCCTTGACGCACGCACTCACGATTTGACCTCTGGACCCGCCCGGAACGACGGGAAGGATTTGTCTAAAGTCTCCAGCGAGCACGAGGAACTTTCCTCCGAAGGGGCATCATGGGACCCATGTAATGGTACATCTCGCCCTGCATCGTCATTTTGGGGTTAAAATTGGAAGTACCGGGCCCTCTGTTCACCCATTTGGCGACCACGGACGCCATAGACAGCGCTGAATTGTATGCTCGAATGTTTTTACGGAAGCGGCGGGCCCTTGGAGTATCATCGATGAGAAGAGAGCGCAGAAGAGCTGGCGGGTCGGTGAGAAGGGGCAGTGACAGCTTCCCCTTCCCACAGCATGTGGAAAACATGGGCCTTGCGGCAGAGCTGCTCACGATGCGTTCTTGGACGAAATGCAGAGCTTTGCAGTGCGAACACTCAATATGGACCATGCCGAGATCGCGATACGAAGGCGACGATTCGGGTAGTGGGGGGAAGAGCTGCCGAGAAGCCGTTCGAGCCTGGCCGTCGGATCGTTGCCGGGCATTCTGAGTCGGTATGTCTTGTGCATCCCTTGATCGTTGGGTGGATAGACGGTCAAGGTCTCGCCGCACCTCACGAGCAGGAGTAATTTCCTCGGCTCTAGCTCCTCGTGTCGCATTGCGATCCGCTTCGCGCCGTGCATCTCGGAGGGGGGTATTTTCTTCCGCTCTAGCTGCTTCTGTGGATCTTCGGTTTGAGTCTTGACGCTCATGTCTCTCTGGGGTTGTCGCGTCAGCTCTTCTCTGTTGCATTGAGACACGAGAGGCCTCCAATCGAGTTATGCGGTCAGGAGTGCTCTCAGACTGTCTCGTGCTTTGCATAGATGCTCGATTCGAGGCTCTGGCACGTTCCGTTGCTGCTCGGAGCTTTGGAGACTCTCTGGGACCCTTTGTCCGTGATTGACCGGCTCTGCGCGCCCTGGTTCTCTCCCTGTTTCGACGAAGACGCTCTTCGCGCTGCTCAGAAGTCTCTGCTGCTCTTCGTGCTGCAGTACGTTCCCGGAGGGTTTGGCGACGCGCTTGAGCCTCAGATTCGGTGTGTTGTCCCCTCCGGATTCTCGCCCGAGCTCGACCTGCCTCACGACGTGCTTGAGCTTCAGATTCCGACTCTTGCGCTCTCCTTGCCCTTGTACGCGCGTTTCTTTGCTGCCTTCTTGCTTCTGCTACGTCTTCATCTGCTGGTCTCGCCATTTATGTTCTGCTTGGCGCGCTAGTGTTATCCCTGCAAGTGCAGCTAGGGTTGACGCAAGTGCGAGGGGTCCGTTGTAGATCGCTATGAGTCGTAGCAAGCAGTCCTCAAAGGTCTAAACGCAACGTCAGCCAGCTAGGTCGTCCGCAAGAGCACTTAGCAAAAGAGTAACAATATAGGGCCTTTATTGTCTTGTACTATCCCGTGATTCAAAAGAACCAAAAACGAAATAGAAATAGACTAATGGTCCTTCTATACACAGGGTACAGTATTAATACTCAGAGTACGACCACCTTGTCTATTTCTACTCCCAGGGAGCCCGGTATTAGAAAGAACCTCTTGCAAGGCTCTTCCCGCCGGGGTCGCTAAGTACGCGCGCTCCCTTTTCCCTCAGTGCGGTGGTTAGGTTTCCCAAGCCCTAACGGCACCTACACTGGGTCTTCTTGCAGCCTCTATAGTTTCACGGAGGCTGCGTTTGATCTTCGTTGTCGACGTTGAAAACAACGTCAGTCCGACGTCCGCAGATTGCTCTGCGGAGGCCGTTGTTCCGAGCCCGATACTACAACACCAATAAATGGTGCCCTATCGGATTAGGCTTCCTGCACAGCGGCAGACTACCACGCTTTACTAAAAGCAAAGCGCAATAGCACCTAGGGACTATCCGGATGCCGTCAAGCAATCCGGTAAACTTTTCGCGGGGAATGCCGTATTCAGCCCACTACTAAGCCGGCATAGAATCACGATCGCTGCCTTGCCCAGACTCTGGTCACCACGCTACCAGGGAGCCGTCACGTGGTGAAAATTTGCTGAAGGTTGTTGAACTCGAAAGCAGGTACTGTGCTGCCGACGTGCGGCTATGTAAAAAACGTTTCTATTCGTGCGCGCTTTCGCCTCACCGCCACTTGTCACCAGGGGCGGCGCCACGTGTCGCCATTTGTCACCGGCACGCTACTGTAGTGCCGCATTGGGGTAAGAGTTCGAAATTCAAAATAAAATTAATTTTACCGCCACGTGTCGCCACTTGCAACTCGGGGCGGCCCGGCCTGCGGCCAGGCCGCCCCGCACGTGGCCGCCACCACTTGTCACGCCACGTGTCCCCGTGGCGGCCTGGCCTGCGAAAAAACCGCCACGTGTCGCCACTTGTCACGCCACGTGTCCCCGTGGCCGCCACTTGTCACCGCGGCGCCGCCCCCGTGCGCCAATGGCAACGCGGGAGCGCAAGGACATACAGACACACACACAGACACGGATTTTTGTAGTTGTAGAAACTCGCAGTCCCTCTAATTCTAGGAGCGGACTATTGCGATAGGTTCATGGAGGCTATATACCCATGTAAGAGGACAGTTGAGTTGGCAGATTTCTCGAAGGTTCCGATCGTACGGCGATTCTCGGCGAGAAGATCGAAGAAGCATTTGGTCCCCGGAGAGGGTGAGACTGATGCAAAAAGGGAACGAGTTTCCCCCAGGGTGAAGGTGGCAAGAGCCACGACCATTGAGCCAGGGACGCAAAGCATGGTCGAATGTACCTCGAAGAGAACTGGGCTGGTCGTCGTTCAACCCTACGCACCCCTGTACGACAAGCACGGGCTGGTAAGCACCAACAGTGTAGTTCCGGTTGAGCCTGACACCCCTTTTAGATCGCTTGTTGCGAAGTTTAGGAATTACCCGGTCCGGTTTCAAAAAGGCCAAGTGGTGGCGGAACTACTACCGCACCCGAGGGCCGTATTCAAGAGCAATACCACCATTGGTGAGGTACTTGGAATTCAAGAAAGGGATGAGGAAAAATTTACTAATTCTACCCCGCCGCCTACGGGCGAGAGAAGATGCGGACCGTCGGAACAAGAGCGCGAGGACCAGCAAGGAGAACGGGAGGAAGGGCTCTCCGCGACAGCAACTACGAAGCCGGAGCGGCGGATTGAGCCTCCCCCGCCGGACGTGGAGAAGCTCGACCTGAGCCACGTGCCGGACCGGCTGCGCGAAAGATTCTGTCGGATGTTGAAAAATATTCCCGCATGTGGGATGGGATCCTTGGTCAGATCAACACCACTGTCCACCGGATTGAACTGGCCCCGGATACAAGGCCAATTGCACAAGCTCCCTACGGAGCCGGTCCGAAGGCTCGGGAGGTCGAGGACGCAGAAGTACAGAAGATGTTAGAAGCAGGAGTCATCGAGCTGCCGCAGTCAGAATGGGCTTCTCCCGTTTTATTAGTGCCCAAGCCGGACGGATCGATGCGTTTTTGCGTAGACTACCGCAGGTTAAACGCGGTAACGGTGAAGGACACGTACCCTTTGCCGCGCAGGGATGAGTGTTTGGACTCGTTGGGAGATACCAAGGTCTTTCCGCGTTGGACGCGATTTCAGGGTATTGGCAGATGCCTATTCCGGAAGCAGACCGCGACAAGACAGCTTTTTCGTGTCACTCGGGTCTCTACCGTTTTTCAAGAATGCCCTTCGGGCTAACCAACGCGCCAGCGACGTTTCAGAGAGCTATGGATATCCTGCTCTCTCCGTTCCGCTGGAAATGCTGTCTGGTATATCTAGATGATATCATCATCTTCAGCAAATCCTGGGAGAAGCACATCGTGCACGTGGAGGAGATACTGTCTGTATTGGAAAAGGCAGTTGTGAAGCTCAAGCTTCGCAAGTGCGAATTTTTCGTCGAAAAGATCAAGTACCTGGGCCATGTCGTTCGGCCAGGTACATTGGAAGTTGACGCCTCGCGAACCGCCGCATTGAAACAAGTGAGGTACCCTCAAACGCAGACCCAGCTCAGGAGCTTCTTGGGACTTTGTAATGTCTACGGCAGATTCGTTCCGCATTATGCGAAAATTGCGCATCCGCTCAATCAACTATTGAAGAAGGGACAGCCGGTCCAGTTGGAAGGATTCGACGAACCGTGCGAAAAAGCTTTTCATAAGCTCAAAGACGCTATCTTCGCGCCACCGGTGTTGGCGCTGCCGAAGAAGGACCTAACATACTCGGTAGACATCGATGCAAGCAACTATCAAATCGGCGCTGCATTATTTCAAACGCATCCGGATGGGCAACGTAAACCCATCGGGTTCTTTTCAAGAACGTTAGCGGCAGCCGAAAGAAACTATTCTGTATCAGAAAAAGAATGTCTAGCGGTAATTTGGGCCGTACAGACAACCCATCGGGTTCTTTTTAAGAACGTTAGCCGCAGCCGAAAGAAACTATTCTGTATCAGAAAAAGAATGTCTAGCGGTAATTTGGGACGTACAGACTTTAAGACCATATATATATGGCGAGCACTTCATTGTACATACCGACCATGCCTCATTGAGGTGGTTGATGAACGTAACCGACCCCAGCGGGAGATTAATCCGATGGAGGCTCCGCCTCTCGGAATTTGATTTCGAAATCAAGTACAAGAAGCGCAAGGCGAACAGCCAAGCTGATGCCCTGTCAAGATTACGAACCACTGGAGAAACTGTCGACGAAATCGACGACGAAATTCCATGCTTCATGGCCGAACCGGCCGAGGGAACAGTAGAGGACGAGGACAATTTTGACGCGTTAGACGACATTCTCGCTTTTGAGGGGGGCGGCCCCTGAGCGCCTCGATCAATTCCAAGCTGTCACTTCGGAGGACCTCATTTGCGAGCAAGCCGTCGACCCCTTCTGCAATCGCATCAAGGAAGAAATGGACGCTGGAAAGGTGAGAACGTTCAGCATGGAGACCGAGGAACTCGAAGGAACCCTATGCCGTACCG